TCATTAAAAACCGATGTTTGAGGACTGACGAGATGATTCAATGGTAAAGGCTCTTGCTGTCAAGATGGACAATCTGTTTGAAACTCAGAACCCTCACAGTGGGAGAACTGACTCCCTCAAGCTCCCTCAAGTTGTCCTCTGCCCTCTACATGTGTACTGTGGCACCTACACACACACATCAGATATATAATTGTTTTAATCCAGCTGGCTCAGATGCCAGAGCACTCACTGCCCCATTCAGGTGCCCTCCAGTCATTATGACACTTAGCTGGGTGCCATGTCCTATTATTCTGAGTTATTCTTACACCCAGAGGGGTCACTATTCCATTTCAGGTAGAACTAAAGCAGTCAGGAGAGGCTGAGGGGACACCGGGCCTTTTAATCCTAATCCTGGCTAGCCAAAAGTCTATAACCAATCAGCAACACTCCAACACTGCTCTAGCTGGCTCCTTAGAACCAGGCCAGGCTCGGCACAGATTAGGGATACTGGCCCTGGTTTATCTGGGAACAGAAATCCTGCCGATTCCTAGAAGCTAGGTTTCCATGACTACAATCATGGCTGGGACAAGCAGCCATCCCAGAACCTGCCATCTCCCTGTACCTACAGCTGTTATCAGGAGCACCAAGGGTTCCCCCAGGGAAAAGCTTAGGAGTAAGGCAATTATAGTAAGGTTCCTGACGGCCCCTCCAGAGTAATTCTTGGAAAACCAAGCACTATGTCAACCAGACTAGGACTGTTACTAGCACATCAAGGAGACAGCTCCTCTGCAGCAGCAAATAGCTCCAGTTCACCTGATTCTCCCACCTTCAAGGACAAGATCCAAAGCCCGGGTCTATGCAGAATTCTTTTGCCTCATCACCACCCTGACCAAATGAAGACTAAGGGCTCTGGGACAGAGCAAAGAGCTGATACAGAGGGACAGGCATCTGTGCAGGTTGAAAGCATCAGTTCCATCTTGAAGCTGCCAGGCAACAGGCAGGGCCCATACATCCTACTGGCTCCTGTCTTAGGACTGTGGAGGAGCTGGGTCCAGAGAACTCCCATTGGTGCCAGCAATCTGTTTATCCACAGATGTGGGGAGGGCTTTTCCTCAGTTCATTCCCACCCCAGGTAGTGCCAGGCCTGGTGCCATCGCTGGCTCTGAACTGCTAGTGGAAATCAACTCCACCCTGGCAGTGCAGAGCAAGATCTGGTGTCTGAGGACTACCGTGCTGCAACTGTACATGTAAACACTGGCGTCTCATTCCATCTCTGGTAGAAGTTGCTCCTGCTAGGCTGAGCTGGCTCCTGCTAGGCTGAGCTCCAACCCACTGAGGCTAATCCCGCAGCCTCCTGATTCACAGGGACCACTAATAAACATGTCTAAAAGTCAGGAAAGGCATTAATCTCCCCAGATGTAGGTCTCTTCCAGATGAGCATGCGGGGCTCCGTTTTTTTTGTTGATGCCTATATTTGGCTGTGGATGAGTGTGCTGTGTGCACACACATGCAGTTGTGCGCACATAGGTCAGAGGAGGTAGCTCCCAGCAGCCAGCAAACCCCAGCAGTCCTCCTGTCTCTACTCCACACAGCACTGTGGTGCAGCGATGCCTGGTTTTTCACACGGGTGCTGGGATTCAAACTCAAGTCTTCATGTTGGCCCTCTTACCCACTGAGCCACCTCTGCAGTCCCAAGGGGCTCCTTCCTTCACCAGTTGTGTTTACAGTCAGCATTCCGGCCACCACCCTCAGCTCGCCTTCCTGTCCCTGCTTTTGGAAGCTGTGTCATTATTGGTGTGCCTGTATCTTCGGTCTCTGAGAAGGATTCTGTCACGTCCACATCTGTTACTTGTGGCTTAAAAGTTCAGCAGCACACCTCAGTGTCATTCCCCACTTTGCAACCCATTCCCTCCACAGCCATTCAGTCCACTGGGGGAAGATCCTGGGCTTACACAAGGTACACTCCAGGAGCAGTTCTGGGCTGTGTTTTGATGAGCTGCTGAGCACTGCCCAGTGACTCCAGAGTAGCCACACCAGCCATGCGCACAGCTCCATCCACCTACCTTTCCAAATTCTGGGATCACAATGGCTGCAGAGATGGTTCAGTGGGGAAAAGCACTTGCCACACGTGTGCAGACTTGAGTTCGGATCTCCAAAAGCCACATAAAGCTGGATGGAGTAGCATGCATCTGTAATCCTAGTGCTCGTATGGGGAGATGGGAAACGGGGACAGTAGAGTCCCCAGGAGCTCACCAGGCAGCTGGCCTGTGTGCACAGCAGCAACCAACAAAAACACCACCTCACACAAGGTGGAAGGTGAGGACCAACACCTGAGGTTGTCCTTTGACCACATGGTGACACACACACAAATTAAAATATAACGAAGAGGTCTAAAATGGAGTAAATAATCAAGAAAAAGGCTAAAATATGCAGAAAGCCGTGAAGCCCCTATCGGTCAACACTGCTCCTAAGATCCCTGGTGTCCCATTCCAGAAGCCATGGCAATGGTCTGGACAGACGGGAGCCCTGGCTACCTTTGGACCAAGTACTGATTCACCTATCAGGCTGAGGCAAGAGCTAGGACCTTTGTTTTCAGAACTGCTGACTGGACCATGATTGCACTGGAAATCCCTCTGGTCCTACTTAAGCAGGAAAGGAGAAAGCTGGCCTGAACAAGCCCAGTACCACCCGAGAGCCACAGAACATCTCCATCATTCACCCAAAATGTTGGCACATTAGCCTTGCTTGCTGGAGAAAGCAATGACTTTAGACGAGGGACCACAAGCCCTCCTCAGGCCACCTGTCAGGCAAACTATTCAGTGGCTAGCAGTCTGTCAAGTGATAAGACTGGGAGAGGAAGAGTCGGTTTTAAGGTGCGACACAAGGCAGGCTGACCAGGCTCCGGGGGATGGACCATATCCAAGAATATTTGGAAAACATAAGTTAGACTCAACTTGATAGGCCTTAAAATATAATAAAGGATATGAAGTTTCAGGGGTGAGATAGTAAGATGAGGGTAGAGAAGGGCGGGGTCTGAATATGATCAAAATATATTGTATGAAATTCTCAAAGAATAAAAATTTTTTTAATGACTGGCATGCTTCCAAGTTCACATGACCCCCAAAAATTCACTGGGCAGCTAATCAGAGCTCCATCATGTTTCACCACAAGTCACAGGTGTGGCAAGTGGAAAGCATTCGATCTGATCCTGAGGTGAAAGCTATGGGGGCTGAGACCAGCTAACTTGAGACCCTCTGGTGAGGTAAAAGTACAGACAGTTCCCCACTGCTCTGACCATTCACTGAAAACCCAATTGCTTGGCATTAGGAGTCATGTTCCGAGAGCAGTGATGGTCGGTGCCAATGTCAGCTGGCCCACAGTCCACACAACCCACACCCAGCAGTTTCCAGGCTCAGAGACTGTATCAACGTGTTTCTGTTTGCATTTTGAATTGGTTTTTAATTGGATGGCTGATGTAGGATTGCTGTCATTTATCTTTCCACAAGAACATTACACACACACACACACACACACACACACACACACACACACACACACACCACCTAGTATTAATCACCATCATCCTCCCCCTGATCTACTCCCAACTTTTTGCTGACAAGCATCTCCACTCTCACCCCCAAACAGTACACACAGCCTGTAGTCCTAAGCACTTGGGAGGCAGAGGTAGGTGGATCTCTGTGAGTTAGAGGACAGCCAGGTCTACATAGTGAGTTCCAGGTCAGCTGGGATTACAGGGAGACCATTCCAAAAAGACCAAAAAAAAAAAATCCATCTGGGAAGTTAAAAAAAAAAAAAAAATGGGGTGGGGGGGGAGCCAGCTAATAGGTACAGCATTTGATGAACTCAAGGCCCAGGGTTCAATCACCCTGGGGGGTGACTGAGGGGATAGGGTGGGAGAAAATAAAAGTATTCCAAGGGCTGGGGTTTGTAGTTCAGTATGTACATATCTCTAGGTTACACCACAAAAAAATAATCTAACTTTGCAAAATGTTATCATTTGGAGAACACTGGCTAAAATGTACAGAGAACTGTGTTTTCTTGCTAGGGTTCCCTTCTGTCCACAATTCTCTCAAAAATGTTTCAATAAACAAAACTAAACAGACAAAACATTTAGTTGGAGAAGGGGGATATGATCAAAACACATTGTATGAAACTCTCAAAGAATCAATAAAAATATTTAAAAAAAATAAGGTGGACTGTTTCTGACATGACACCTGAGGCTGACCTTTGACCTCCACATACATGTACACACATAAGTGCTTCCCCACCCATAGTGTGAGTGTGCATATATACACATACAAATAAAAACAGGTTGTGATGGTTTGAATGAAAATGTCCCCCATACGCTCCAAGTATTTGGACATTTTGTCCCCAGTGGGTGGTGCTATTTTGGGAGGTTTTAGAAGGTGTGGCTATCCTGGAGGAAGCACGTCACTGGGGGTGGGCTTAGAGAGTTCTTAAGCCTTGCCGGATCTCCAGTCAGCCTTTTGCTTCCTGTGCCTGCTAGAAGATGTAGAGCCTAGCTTCTGCTCCTCCTCCAGCCACCTACGGCCACCCTGCCTCCCCGCCATGATGGACTGTAATTTCCCTGGAACCGTAAGCTCAAAGAAACTCTTCCATCAATTGCTTGGGTCAGTGTTTCTATGACAGCAAAAGAAAAATAATACACAGGTAGATCCCAAATGCAAACTGACAAGAATTAGTATTCTTTGAATCTTCCTTTAAACCTTTAAGTATGCTCCATGCTCTACTCTGCCAAGTTCTAAGGGAATCCATGCTGTACTCTACCAGGTTCGAAGGGAATTCTGGCATGTAACCATGCTCTACATGACTTCCTGTGTCTGTGTGTCTCATCCACCCCACCTTTCCCAAGTTGCTGCATGCTGAAGCATCACATATCTTAGCCAATTTAGCCAGTCAGGCCCTCACCTGGAATAACTAATTGGATCATCTTAAAATACAGACTACAAGATCCACAGCTGGGAAGAAATCCATTTCACTCAGGTAAAAATGTTTACTATTATGAACAAGTTATCACTGCTATTTACATGTTTATAAAATAGAAATAAAAATGACACAGGTTTGGTGCCCAAAGTAGCACATCCAAACTAAAACCAGTACAAAAATAAGTTTTTAAGCTATGTTTTTAAAATAAATGTCATTGACACAGCAAGGGGAGTACTGTGTCTTGTCATGTGCTGAAGTGCAGTCACCGTCACATAAAGTAGCCCCAGAGCAGCAGGAGCAGACCCTGCTGGAAGAGCTGCCCCGTGCTCTTACAAGAATGCAGCAAACAAACAAAGACGAATATACAAGAGTTATATTCCTGAGCTACAGAAGTTTAGGGAATCTCTAAACTGTAGTGAGTTCCTGCTAAAGAGGAGACCCTGGGGTCGGGGCTGATGAACTTTCACTAGTGTCCAGCCAATGGCACCAGGACTCGGAATCTGCTTTGAGAGAAAGCTAGGCCACTTGCGAGGAAGTCCTTGGATTAACAAAGACAAGATGGTGCTTTTGAATCCTTGCGTGGACCACCAGTGGTGTACCAAGGCTCCCTGCTGCAGATAAGCAGGGATGTAATGTGGGAGAGGAGAGGCAGAAGTTGCTTGGTTTGGGAGCCCCTGTGCCTGTAACAGACAAGATCCTGGACAATCTTGGTGAATGGAAGCCCCCAGGTCTCCTCCCTTTGTACTTACACATTGTGCACAGTCAGCCATGGACCTCAGCAGTCAACAGCCATGACTACAGCAGCAAAGCACAGGCAGTCAGTGAGCCCTCTGTGTATCCCACACAGAGCTTCTGCCTATGGGGCTAAATCTCCCCCTCTCCCTGAGCTGGGCCACAATTTGCCTGTCGGGAGTGGCACTGGTTAGTGACTATGAGGGGTGAGCCCCAGAGCATGGCCCAGCAACTCCTGCTCCGACTGGGTATAGCACAGCGGGATGCTGGCCATGCAGGCTCCTCTGGGATCCCTGCGAGGATGGCAATGCTGAGGGAGCAGGAAGACAGGCTGATGAACAGGCTGCAGCCCACATCAGAGTGGCTGTGCATTCCTGAGCTGGTGCCAGGAGCACAGAGTGAAGACGCCAAGCAGGCACTGCCAAGCTCCACTCACTGATCCTGAACCTTGGCCCTTTTGGATTTCAGGGACAGGTGCTGCAAGAGAAGACAAAACATCACGGTTGGGGATGGTGAGACAAAGGAACCAGACTCTGGCAACACTTCCACAAGGCCAAATTCTCAACCTAGTCCACACCCCCTCAAGAACTACTGTGCCCTTTGGAAAACAGTCTGCAGGAGAAAAAGCCAAGTGACTGATAAAGCAGACAGCTCTGAAAGAGGTGGCCTGCAGCCCAAGGCTAGCCCACCACAGCTAAATCTGACCACAGAGAATTCAGGGGCAGCTGCCAATGAAAGTTCTCCTTAGGAAAGAGCTCTCCCTCCACCCCAGCTCCCAGACAGCACTGTGGCCCAGTCCTTGGGCTTTAAGTGAGTGTGACCTCAACAAAAGGACCTAACCATAGTGCAGCAAAGCATCCCCTCCTCAGGACCATGGGAAACAGTTTACCAAGAAGCTCAGCATGCTAGGTGCCTGAGCTCAGGAAAGGAACTGAAGTCGCAGCTCTGCCCACAGTAGGACACATAACACCAGGGAAGACAGACACCTCACAGTGACACTTATTTCCTCCATAAATGCCATTCTATCAGTATAAGTAACATACATACAAAGCTTCCTTATGTAACCATGGGCTGGGAATAAAAAATATTCTTTATGGTAAAGCCAAAATTACTAGGAACTCCAAAATATGCACTTGAAGCAGAATGTGTGAACAGAAACTTCTACTCAGGGATGTCCACTCACCAACTGAGGGATCCCTGACACCTCATCAATAACCTAAGTAAATAAGCAAGACACCATCATCTGAGCAACCCAGCAGCCAGCTCTTCCAGGAGGATGCCACTCCTCTCTGAGTGCCTGTACCCCATTTCCTAGCATACCCTCATGGCCTCAGAATACCCTACAGAAAATTGGCCGTGAAAGAAGAGAGCACACCACCAACGGCAACATGAGAAGACTGAGTGGCAGGCCTCAGGCCTAAGTGAATGGCAAGAAACCAGGCTTTCTATACACTGGGGACCAAGAAAGGAGGGGCTGCAGGTCCTCATACAGGTGAGGCCCGGATCTCTCCCCTAGATCACAAAGTTCTCTCCAAGGATCGGGAGAAGCAATTTAAGGACTAGAAGCAGTGGGTCTTGCTGCTTCTGTGAATTTTTTCCTCTCTGTTCTTCACCTGCCATGACCCTAAACCTAACACTGGGCATGCATGGTCTTAGCTGGAGACAGGCGATGACGCCATCATGCCTGTGGGCCATTTTTGGTTTTGTTCTGGAAGGAATGTCGAATATAAACAAAGCTAACTTTGAGCCATTTCAAGCCTCTTTAGGGTGAGTGGCGGAAAGTCACCAGATGTGCCAAGAACAGAGGCTGACCTATGGGTTGTGCATGGCTGTGAGGATCTGCACTGTGTCCAATAATATAAATCTATTGTACATGGACAGCCCCTGGGGATCGGGAGACTGCCTGGGGAAATTAAGCTACCTTGGACCTATGAGTCACAAGAGGCCAAGCTGCCGTGAAGGGGTTTTGGGGGACCCTGTTGTACAGGGAGGCTGCTGCACTGGGTGATTTCTAAAGGCCCCAGTTCTCCAAAATACTTCGAGCACAGTAGAGGTGACAGGCTAAAGGCAGGAATGGAGCGAAGAGATGAGCCCAGACAGTCAGGCTTGTCCATTTCTTCAAAATTCTGAAGAGATCTGCTCTTTAATCATGTGGGTTTGACCTAAAGAAATGCTAATTTTGAGCTGAAAGGGGGAAATGACTCAACTTATAGGCCAACTCTGTCTTCCAAAAGGCTCAAGGAATCCACAGGGTTGCTGTGCTGTGCCTCCCTATCTGCTGGCACCATCACTGTAGCAAGAGCCCTTCTCTCTACCTACACTGCCTTTCTCATTACTTCTCCTGGACCATGAAGCCTGCTGCTTCCCAGGGGCTTTGAAGGAAAAGACCTTCTTCTACCCCAGGTTACTGCTCATCAACCCAACAGAGCCAAGACAACATGCCCTGTGCCTTCACTGGTCCTGCGGCTGATCTGATTTCCAGCTGCAATACCTGTGTTAGGACACATAAAGACCTACAATGGTTTGACCTACTTTTTGTATGAGGAGGTAAGAACTGAATACTGTATGATTTAAAGGACAATGTCCCTGGACTTTAAAGAGGAGAAAGGATGTCTCCAAGAGGGGAAGCAAGGCAGGCAGAACAGGTCTGCAGCGGATGGGAAATGTCACCAACAGGAGGCAGCCATTGCTGGGCTCCTGCTGACTGCCACCACAAAGGAACTCAGGCTGTGTTACAAGATTTGACATTTCTTTTATAATTCTGCTTGTTTGGAGGGCAGAGTGCCTCTATGCTGCTCAGCCTGGTCTCCAACCCAAAGGCCCAAACATTCCTCCTGCCTCAGTCTTCCATGTAGCTGGCACTATAGTAGCACAACACCATGATGGGCTTATGTCTTCCAGCTCTTAAATGCAGCAATCAGCTCAAGGACATACTGTGCGGTCCCAGTTCAGCCCTGATGGAGAAACAGGATTCACATTTCCTTGATGATATAAACAGCAGCACATGTGGACAAAAATATCTGAAGCGACTTTTTTTTTAAGGCAATGGAAACAAACAGCACTGGATGAACAGTCCGTCTTCTTTCCAAGTGCTAGGGATTGAACATAAGGGCACACACACACATACACACACACACGCATAAGAAAACAGAGGTAAGCACAATATCACCACAGGCCTCTGCTGAAGTCTCCACAATTTTAAATAGGGAATGACACAGAGAGGAGAGTTCAGAGCTGCTGAGAGAGCTAGACTACATGGAACAAAGCGTCAAAATGGAGGATCCTGAAGTTTGCACAAGGCTACCCTGCATGTGGAGGCTGAGCTATCGTAGGAATGGCAGAGCTGTCAGAGGGGCAGGCACTGAAATGGAGGTGCTAGAGGTCTGCATAGGATTGCAGCTGTGTTCTCCCCTATCAGTACAGTGCTTGCTGGAGTCTGAGGTATTTGGCTCAGACACTGAAAAGGCCATGGCTTAGGTAGATGGCCAAGACCTGCCCACAAGACTAAAAGATCAAGGCTCAGCAGAATCCAACTGATGTGCCTATAAAATAATTGATTTCCAGGGAAAAAAAGACCCAACACTTATGTGATGGCTAATCCTGGAAGTCAACTTGACTGATCTGGGATTAACTGAAATGAGAGAGATCTTATTGGATATCTAACTCAGGAAGACACACCCTAAATGTGGGTGTTACCTTCTGATGGCAGCCTGTATAAAAGGCCAAGGCAGAGAAGAATGCCAGGATTCTTGCTGCTTGCCTTCTCTCTCACTGATGAGTTCTTGCTGCTGTAGACTGAAGACTAGCTGATCTTTTGGAATTTGTCAGACCTTCAGTGCCAGATTGGGACTACTGAGACATCCAGCCTGTGGACTGAGTGACTGCGGATTCTCAGCCTCTCCAGTGTGGTGCAGCCATTGTTGGACTACTAGGACTCTATCCTGTGAGCTAAGCTGATAAATCTCTATACATATATATTCATTCTACCAGTTCTATTTCTTTGGAGAACCCTAATACAACTTACTAGAAAAAAAAAATTTCAGATTCCATAATATACTACCTGTAAAGCTAACACATAACAAAAAAAATATTGACAGGAGAAGCAAGAAAAGTTGACCCATTTGGAGAAGACAAGGGCCAAACCAAAACAAGCCTGAAGTGAAAGTGATGTTGAAATGAGAGGCTCCTTCTAAACAGCCATTGTAAGTTGAAAAATTTAAAGAAAAAGATGGGTGTGATAAGTAAACATGTGAAAGAGCTAAACAGGTGATGAATCCTGTGGACATATACGGACGTAATGGTCTTACCTCCCTCTGTACTGTAGGGGAGGGGCAGGGTGTGGGGGAAAATTTAGGGCACTGAGCTGGAGAACAAACGAAGACCCTGCTCGCTGGCAGTTTGGGCACAGGCTCTGTTCATGCCTACCGTTCCTTGTTGATAAAAATGTGGAGCCAGCTCCAGCAGCCAAGCAGATTCTATGGCGGTCACATCTCTCATATAATACTTGGAGGTCTGTACAACTTCATTGTAGATAACCCTGAAATAAAGGAAACATGGAACACGCTGCTGTGTAGGAGGCTGTCAGGGCCCGAAGTCGGAGCCGAGTCCCCTCCACACTCAACACAGCAGGTATGCACTGCACATGCCCAGCTCTCAGCACAGCCACTGCAGCCATTCACTAAGCCTCCTACTCAAGCACCGGGTCAGTGTGTCTCACAGTTGAGATGCTCCACCTCCTTTCCAGGGCACTTCAGTTATCCACAAAGGACATTTCTAGATCCTTGACCCGCATTTCTAAAACTCTGAATAGAACTTAAAGACTTAATTAGGAAGCACAAAAATGGACTTTATAAAGGTTTGCCTGGTTCCCAAGAGGGATGGGAAGTGACTATAAAGAGACACAAAGGAACTGTAACTAAAACATTTTCTATATTATTTGCAATACAGTTACATAGGTGTGCACCTCTGTTAAAACCCATGTCACTATATGTAAACTAACCCTTTTCCTTTTTCTAAAGTTTATTTGTATTATTTTTAAATTATGTGGATTCATGTATGTCTGTGTGGGAAGACATGTACCTATGTGCAGGTACTCATGGAGGCCATAGGTATCGGACTCCCTTGGAGCTGGAGTTATAGGCAGTTGTGAGCCACCCAACATGGATGCTGGGAGTCAAACTCAGGTTACTGCTGAGCCATCTCTCCTGCCCCAATTACATCTTTTTTTAAGAGGGAAAAAAAGACTTACCTAGGGCTAAGGGTACAACCAAAGAGAGAGGGGCATTATTTCAAATCCCTGGACTTCAGGAGCACAGTAGTTCCTGAACTATGGGAAGAATTGACTCAGAGTGTCCCTAAGAACGATAAACCTATACAAATAAAGCCACAGAGGTTCCCCTCAAACACCAGCAAATGAATCTCAGCTGATGAAAGGAAGAGGCGGGCTAGGAGTAGAGCACTTGCCCAGTAAGCTCAAGGCTTGGGTTCCATTCCCAGCACAAGAAGGGAGGGGAGAGAAAAGGGAGGGGAGGGGAAGGGAAGGGAAGGGAAGAGAGGCAAGATGTGGGGGTTTCACAGTGACGGTGTGGCAAAGACAAGCCTAGAGCTCAAGGTTACTGCCCTGGCATGAGATTGTCCAATTGGGATGGGAGGTCTGAGGTTCCTGGGGGGAGGGGAAGGGAGGGGAGGAAAGTGAGGAGGAGGGAGAGGGGAGGGTAGGAAGGGAAGAGAGGAGGAGGGAGGGAGGGGAGGGGAGGAAGGGAAGAGGGAAGAGGAGGGAGTAGAGAGGAGGGAAGACAAAGGAGGGGAGGGGACAGTGGTGGTAAAGGAGGGAAGAAAGAAGAAGGAAAAAAAGCAAAAGAGAAAGGAAGGGGAAAAGGCCCAAGCACTGCAGTGTGGCTCCCTCTCTACCTTCTTTACCAGGCAGTGGGGAACAGTTCTAAACCAGCGCTACTGTCACACTCCACCTAAGCCGTTTCTAGGTCTGATTCCTTGGTCTAGAGGAACAGAGTTCAATTCCAATAATGATCAGAAACCTCTCAAGGGCCTATTTGATTAAGACAATAGGTCCCACTCCAGGTTCTGATTCAGAAGGGTTGGGTAGGGCCTCAGAACCTGCATTTCCAACAGGTTTCCAAGTGAGGCTGCTGCCTGAGCACATGCCAAAAAGGGCCTCACACCAGCCTCTCCCAGTCTAGACTTCACCACCACCACTCCTGCCCTCTCCCCACCCCAGGGCTCTCTTCCCCCTGGTAAAGGACCCATTGTTGTCTTTAAATTTCCCAATTCTTTGTCAATCCATAAATAGAAAAATGAAATAAACACAAAATACAAACCCAAATTAGCACTGACCCAGGCAGACAAAAATGTGACTTGTCAAAACGCCATAAAAATACCCATGCTGTCTCTCGACATCTACACTCACCAGTGCTGCAGACTGGAGCCATGCCGTGGGCCGCCCTCTGACCAGCACTGGCCAGCTCTAATAACACTTCCCACTCCCCAAAGGCACAAGCTCCTTCATGCTGTCATAGCTTTGCCCACCCAATTTCCTAGGTCCAAATGTCCTTTGGGTCCTTTCCTGCCTAAAAACTCCCATCACCAGGTCCAGAGCAAGTGCTCACTCCTCCGTGGAGCCAGCCTGGCTTCCGAGCACCTGCAGGGCCAGCCCTTCTCCTACAGCCCTGCAATCTGTTCGCCTGGCTCTACATCAGATCTGTGGCTGGGCCCTGTGTCATCTCTGCATGCTGTGCCCAAGACCTCTGGTCAGTGGCTCAAAGTAAACACCTGTTAAGAGGATGAGTGATGACATACACAGCAGTTTGCTTAAGGAACATTCCTTTAAAAGGAAGAGTCTGCTGAGTATACTGCATTGTGGCTGGACAGTAACTGTGGCACTGCCTGCCTTAAAGGGATCTTTGATAGAGCAGAAATTCTACTGGCAACTCAGCACTCCCAAGTCTACACAGCTATGGGTCATCTGTACTGCAAGGCCTATACAAGGTCCTGGGGTCCCAAAGATGACCAAGAACAAGGCTGGGCCAAGGTCAGCAGCGAGAGGGGCTTACCAGCGCGGCGGCTTCTCTGCATAGAGGACAGACGCAGGGTGGATGTGCAGCTCATGATCGTCCCGGATAGTCCTTGTGAAATAGAAGAATTGTGTCTGAAGCACTTAATCACTTGTAATATTTTCCATAGATATTTTAATATAACCCCCAAAACACATGCAGATTGAATTTCACAAGAACAAAACCCTGCAATGTGTAGACACTCTGAAAAAACCCTGTAAGAACAATGCTCCCATCTACATTATGTCCATGTGTCTTCTACAGACTTTCTTTCAAAGCAATTTCCTGCTGAGCATGGTGGTGCACACCTCCGATCCTAGCACTCAAGAGACAGAGGTGGGAGGATCTCTGAGATAGAGGTCAGCCTGGTCTACATAATGAGCTCCAGGCCACCTGGGGCTACATGGAGAACTTGTCTTTGAAAAAAAAAAAAAAAACAAAAAGAAGCTGGGCATGGTGGTGCACGCCTTGAACCCCAGCACGTGGGAGGCAGAGGCAGGGAGAATCTCTGTGAGTTCAAGGCCAGCCTGGTCTACTTAGTGAGTTACGGGCCAGCTGGGGTTACAGGGAGACCCTGTCTCAAAAAGACACACCCCCTCCAAAAATAAAAATCCTTTCACAACAGAACTGGCATGTGTGGTTTCTTTTCTACAGACTTCCTATTACACTAAGTGAAATACTAAGTGAAAGAGCCCAAGGCAGTAAGGACAAAGTGGGAAGCTGCTTGTTTCTCCTGAATAGTAACTTCTAATTACAATTTAGATTTTGTTTATTTGATTTAAAAAATGACTTACTGAACACCCAACTGCTTGTCAGATCACACCACAGACAACATAAGCAAACAAGGACATCACTCAGAGAACTTCCAACGTGTTTCTGTGGGCACCAGGATATCCATCAGGCACCATAAACAGGACAGCACCAAGGGGACCAGCTGGCGAAAGGTGATGAGCTAACCAACAATGAACTTCCTCTCAAAGGAATGACTGGTCCTGGAATCTCTTCTTGCGGAAGCCCATGAAATAATATGTAGATCACCCCCAGAAATGACTAATTGACACTCTTGAGGAAAGGGGCAATGAAAATGACAAGTGAGGGGCACTCACTGGGGAGACTTCAGATCTCTCCAGAGGGACCTGCACCTCCTAATGAGAGGGGTGCCTCAAACACAGCATCTCAGTGTTGGATGGGGACTTGTATGCTGGGCAACAGAATCAAGGGAGTGGTGACCGGATGCTGTGGCCTGGAGTAACAAAGCACACCAGACACAAAGGTGACGTGCTGTGCTTTCAGGGTCAAAGGCCCCCACCAGGTTAGTCTACAGGGCAGACCTGGCTACCAAAATTAAGAAATGCTCAGTGGGCTCTGGAGTACTCAGGGGAGGGGATCTGAGCTGGCCTCATGTATATGGAAGAAATTCCAAAGAAAATCTAGGAGAAAGCCTTTGAACTGTTCCCTTCTTGAAGACGAGAAGGTGGCTGGGCATGAAGGTACACACCTGTGATCTTGGTTCTTAGGGGGCTGAAGCAGGAGGATCACAGGTTCCAGGCCAGCCTGGGCTACATAATGAGACTGTCTTGAAAAAAAAAAAAAAAGCTGGGGTGGAGCCTAGTGCCAGAACACTTGCCTACTAGGTGTCAAATCCTGGGTTCGATCTGGGGGTGGGGGGCAAGCAGAGAGAGAGGGGCAGCTACACTTTAAACAGGTGGCAACAAAATTATGGCACCACAATATGCCAAGGAAAGGAAAAGAATAATCCAAAGGTCTGGAATGATTTCATTTGGAGAAAGCAGGCTAAACTACACTTTGATTTTTACTTAATGGATACTGTAAAAGCTACTGCAGGCATCAGTGCTAGAAGACACAGGATGCAGACTGGCAGGAGGCACTGTGACCAGAAGGAATACTAGCCAGGCTCCATTGACACAAATGTAGCCCAATGTGCCAGTGACCTGTGACCTGGGTCCTGTAGAGCTCTAAGACATGGTTGAATACCCACTGGGAAGAGTGACTTTCCTGGGAAATTCCACTGTTAATGATTTCCTCCTGTTCTATCGTATCATTAGAACCGAGACACAGAGTTGTCACTGTCCTGAAACACACCTTAACACATGGATGCACTGATACTTAGGACTCCTCCAAAGAGTCAAGATAATCTGCTTAAAGCTAGACAGCTAACCTTACTCAGTACTAGAAACAGGCATGTATAAATTAAAATCGACTTTTATCTCTGCATATCGGGTTTCTGAGGGGTCAGATCACTTTCACAACCTGTCCTTCGTCATGTGACTTCAATCCCTTGTTACCTATAAGCTCCAGTGGAATGAAACCTCGCTGCATTGGCGAAGAATCCCGACACAATACACCTCAGAACCGGGTCTGGATCCCCTACACAAGACAGCAAACAGAGGGTTTGATGAGAACTTGGTATGTTGGTTTCATGCTTCATGTGCTAGGCTTCACTGTGCAGGATCCCGGTCTAGCTCCACCCAGGCTGCTCTAGCTACCTGGAAACCATCTCTGAAACTGCCCAGCCCTGGGCGGCCAATGCCTGACCCCTGCCAACATCTGAGGAGGCCCCTCTTATACAGCAGCTGCTAAGGACAAGGTAGGGCTGCCCCTGGAACTTGGGCCTCTCCAACCCTCCCATCCCACAGAGGACTGGGCTAAGGCTGAGTACCAGGGCTTCGCAGACTGGCCAGTGACCTCAGACCTGGTTTTGAGGAGAGTGCTTTGTGGAAATAACCGTCTATGCATAAGACACAAACTGGAAAACCATACTAATTTCTATGATTGTAAACTAATGGGTAATTCTTCAACATTTCCAAACTTTCCATTCCATTTTAACTGGAATTTCTGTTGCTTTAGTAAAAAAAATCTTTCATGGGGCTGGAGAGATGGCCCAGCAATTAAGAGTACTGGCTGCTCTTGCAGAGGACCTGGGTTCAGTTCCCAGAACCCACATGGTGGATAATAATTATCCCTAACTCCAGTTTCAGGGGATCAGATGCCCTCTTCTGGTCTTTGCAGGTTTGTACACACACACATGCAGGCAAAACACTCATACACATAAAATAAAAATACATAAAACTTCTAAAAAGAGACACCCATTTTTCATGAATAAAGCATCTCTGCTCATTAGATCATTGCCACAAGATAAATTCTAAATTACTATGCAAAGGGATGATAGCATTTTAATGACTGAAGACGTTCTCCATTTCATCAGTTCTAAGGCACTTTGTCTAACTCAAGACAAATTATAGTGACAGCATTCTTTCCTTAGTGGTAACCTAAACCAACGATGGATGTGTGTCTTAGCTCCGACCAGACAGCGTGGTGGCAAGAAGGTTTCCTACAGGTGGCACTATCATAAAGTCACCAACAACACAGAAGAACATTAGTTGTACCACTGATGTAACACTTCTTCCAGCGAGTTTTGGTAAAGGGGAGATACAGATTTATTTAATTACTACTTGTGCATTTTTACTGCTTTTGTGAATTTTATATTCAAATCCTTTGCTTACCAAACAGGTTCAATAATCATTCTATAATAAACTTCATTTTTTAATCTCATAAATGCTGAAAACATCTTTTACTACTTGGTTTCTCCTTAAAAAAAAAACAAAAAACTAGATGCTTTTACATTTGCATGTAATTACTTGGTCTCTGAGACTTTCTTTACTGTTCCCAAGTACGGAACTGATAAATCTCAAGCCTGCATTCTGACTACTAACTAACCCAGATGTAGCCCCTTCTCTCCAACCAGTCAGAGATTCCCACATACAACAGGAGCGAGGTCCCTAAAGGGTGGAAACTGGTACCGGAGGGTGCTGGTGGATATCACAAGTCATAATGATCTGTGACCTCAAGACTTAACTCTGCTTCAAACAATCTTATTCCTCAGCAACATTCCTCCCATTAGGAAGAATTTAAACTGAACCTAACTCTTCTCCCTCGAAGCAGGTGATGGTGAACATCAGGTTAGGACACGCAGATGCAGAGTGAGGTCGTCACTTACCTGTCAGGTGACAGGACCTACACGACTGCTCTCCGGTTGGCTGCCCCTGCATGCACCTTGTTTCTGTCCACTATGCCCACATGACCCCTGGGCAGCCCCTGGATTTACTCTTCCTCACATTCCTGCTACACTTGCCACTCTTCTGTGGTTACCAAAGTACTTACTACCTTCACTTCTAGGAGTGGGAACCTGACCCGACAGTCTACCTCCAGGGAGACCCTTCACTGCACTGGGCCCTGAGAGTAAGAATCAAGATGTCATTTTTCAATTACTTGTTCTTCATATAAAGGCAAAATGAAGATCTGAAATAAAACTGCCTGGTTCTGAATCTACCACACACTCAACATGTGACCTTCAACAAGTTACCTTTGGCCTACTGGCCTCCTTATTCACTTTATAAAAAGGGCTAACAGCAGCACATTTTCCCAATGTTGCTGAGAGCACTGCATGAATTAACACGACTCATGCTCAGAATGTTTCCAGGCCTATCAGAAGCAGCCAAGAAATGTTAGCAGGCACTCATGGACTTAGGAATGTGGGTGAGTAGTGCACAGTAGGCCTTCAAGATGACTACAGCATGGGCAAGGTATGTGACTTCCTCAAAAGTGTGGCTCCTGAGCATCAGGCTCTGCAGATAACCAGCTGCATTCTGAAGGTCATTTAGCTCCTCCCAAGGACCATCACCTGCAGTTCATACACAGGAAGACACCAGGAGAACGTAGATCCCCTGCCATGGTGCAGCCAACAGCGGCCTCCATTAATGGTCACCCCGACCGACCACTGTTACAGGCCAGACTGTCTACACAGTGGCGCTCTGCCTCACCCTCAGTGACTGTTGAGCTAAGCACACGTTGCCTGCTTTAATAATGATTGCATCTGGGGAAAAAAACGCAATTTTCATGTAACAGCCATGAATTTCATCCCCTTAAAAGTAGTTTTGGGGCCGGGCGTGGTGGTGCACGCCCTTAATACCAGCACCCGGGAGGCAGAGGCAGAGGCAGGCAGATCTCTGTGAGTTCAAGGCCAGCTTGGTCTACATAGTGAGCTCCAGGACAGCTGGGG